CCCACTGGCCCCACTGGCACCACTGGCCCCACTGGCACCACCAAAGCTTCCTGCAGTGCCGATATCATTGCCACTGCTGCTGCCCGTGAAGCCGCCAGCACCAATGCCTGAGCCTCCGCCTCCAACTCCCACATGGCTGTTGATGTCATTGGAAGAACCTGAGAACCGACTGGTATGAGCTGTGGCGGCCGACTGAGCCTCCAGGGTGGCCACTCGATTCTTCAGCTTTCTCACATCCTCAGCTGAGAAAGGAGCATTGACATTTGTTAAGAAATACATACACAGAACACATGAGTTCAAACTACATATAAAACCATCACTACCTTATTTAATTGCAAAGCACTTTGTGTGAATTATTATTATTATTTTATCATTATTGTTATTATTTTGTTTAATAATACAACAGTATTGCATTCACAGAGAGAGGACTATAGAAATAATGAATCAATACAAACAAAATAAATTGCATCTACAGTAAAACACAACACATTACAGAAATAATGTACATGTATATTACACAGCAAATCATTAGATACACATGTGAGCATAGATCAAAGCCAAGAGCCAAAATCCTCATTTCTTGATTTGCACTTGATTTGGTTAATGTTAACTCAAGAGAGTAAGTCAATAGACATATAATTAGCATGTAAGTCTACATTAAGCTGAAACAAACAGATAGAAAAATGATCTGTTTTGATACCTGATTAATTTGTTAGAGTTATTTTTATAATAATTTGACTTGCTTTCCTTGAAGACATTCTCCACATTACTTGCTACTATGTTTAAACATAGTCTGGGAACTCCCCCTGCAATACAATTCCCACTAGGCCACTAGGCTGCAACAAGGTCCATCCCGCTCTGTCATCCCCACCACTTATAAATACCCCAGGGTCTCAGTCTACTACTAATCTACCTATTCTTGGTCTTGTTTAGGCTTTCAGATTTGGAAAGGCTTAGGTATCATTCACTTAAATATTCAACGCATTCTTCAGCATGAAAAACTGGACCAGCTGAAAGTCCTGGTAACTCAAACGAATCCTGATTTTATTGTCTTATCTGAAACATGGTTAAATGCTCTGTGAGTAACTCTGAGATACCTTGGATGATTATTACCTTTTTAAAATGGAAAGAAACTCAAGAGGAGGTGATTTTATTTTAAACTGGCTGAGCTCTGCCTCTGATTATGAAAAAAAAGTCTGTGAAAGTTTTCGTCTTTCACAGTCAGTTACTGATCCCTCCAGGCCAAACTTAAAAGACTTTGATTGACTTGAACAAACAGAAATGGCAAATTTACTGAATTGGGAGTATTTGAGCTTGGCTTCAGTCATCAGTGTCCAATAGCATGTCTAAGAAATACAAAGATGAAAAAAACTATTTCATCACATGGTGATTAGTAAGAATTTTGAACAAGCCTTCCTGTCTGATCTTTATAAAAGTGACTTTCATGATACTGATAAAATCCCTGATGTTGACTTAGCCTTTGACTAATTGATGTTGCCGATAAGATGCACCCTTTAAAAAACACCGTGCAGAACAGGTTAAGTCCCTGATTCTCAGCTGAAAACTCATCCTTGCTGAAAGAGAAAACTAAAGCTTGGGCTCTTGCTGGGAGTAGTAGTAGTATTATGGTGACATCTGACAGGCATGTTTCGGCTGCAATTCTAAAGCCTCTTGATGCTGTCTACCGTTCATTACTGATGACGCTCATATCACTCACCATTGTATTCAGGTTGGGAGGTCCTTTCCCTGTCTGAGAGATGTGATTTGCACACATCTTTGTTTATTCATAAGGCCGTTATTGGAAAGCTGCTTTCATATATTAGTTAATGTTAGTTTGGTCCACTGGACCACATCGTGCCAGGACTAATGACTGGTTCATGCTTCATGTCCCTTGAGTTCATACTGAGCTTGGAAGGGCTGCTTTTGGTTTCTGCAATCTGGAACTTACTACAAAGCATTTTAAAAATAAATTCATTGGTACCTCTTGCTCATTTTAAATCTGTAAATTCTAACCTTTTAACTTTAGTTTGTACCTGCTTTAGTTGATTTTGTGTTATATTTTTTTACACAGATAGATGAACACTGTGTACTGTTTGACAATAATACAAAACTAAGTCTGAAGACAGTAAATATAGCTACTGTATGTACTGTAAATGGTGTACAGTATCAGATGACTTTACCATATGTGCTAATCAGTCACTCACTTCTCAACAGGTTTGGATGTGCACACTTTTACATGCAAGTTAAAGTTAAGTTAAAGTTGCAAATACGATTGCAGCTTTTTCTTTTTTTGTCACATTTTTATCAGGATAAATCCACATCAACACCTCTTCTGCTGCAAGAAAACAAAGTGAAGTCTCTGATGTCATCAAGCAACAATTTCTGGAGCTGCTCCACTGACAATGAATGCCAGACCAACTTTATGGCAGCGGGACGGTACCCAGAGATCAAATTTCCAGGGAGAGGAGTACATTTACAGCTCTTAGCAGCACTGTGAAATAATGCTCACTAGCCTGTAAAACCTGAAACACACATTTTATTGGTTCAAAAAAAGTCTCTCCCAGGCGCTTCGTTGCAGAGCAGCTCCAGGGAAAATCTCATGACTCCTAAGGTTTTATCTTTGGGGACATTTTTACTTTTCCCTATTAAATCTCATGGTGTTGCATAAGTGAAACTCACCCAGTGCGATGAGGCCAAACAGGAGTCCCAGCAGGAGAAGGGAGAGGAGGAGAAGGCCCAGCAGCCATTTCCACCAGGAGCAACAAGAGTCAGAGCAGCAGCAAAATCCTCCACCTCTGAAGATGCCACTGTCCCTGTGAATCTCTGAAGACAGAATAAAGAGCAAATTCCTCACTTTCAAACACTAAAATATTCATCATCATGTAAAAATCAACACACATGCAATCACAAATACCTGCATAGGTGGCTTTGTCTTTCATTACAACTCCCGATGATCCATCTGATGAAGGAACAAATAAACACCACATCAAGTTATCTTTATGATCAAAATAATTTCTTTGTTCTTAGGGATGTTTTTATGACCACTCACAGTAAGTGTTGCCCGACTCTGTCTTCAGTGGGGCCGTCTCACTGTAGCTTGAAATAAGCTTCTCTTTCTTTATTGAATCTCCAGATAGTGACCCTGTAAAATTAGAAAAGCCGTTTTAACGTAACCTTTATTGTATTTATATAACACAGCTCTTGTGAGACAACACACACCATTAAAATATAAAAGACAATACATATGATGCAATGCAACACAAAAAGTGCTTTGACCCATACCAACAAAGAAAAGAAAAGAAAAATAGAAATAAAGTAAAGTATGTGATTAAATAAATTAGTCGACTGACAGGCAATGCATTGCCAACAACTTTGATAATTGATTAAACATTTAAGCCCTTTTTTTTAAGCATCCGCTTCTCAGATGTGGATATTTGCTAGTTTTTCAGTTTTCTATGATCATAAACTATGATAGTAAACTCTTTTGACTGTTGTAAACTTGAGATGATGGAACTTTTCCCATCATTTTCCAACATTTTATAGACTAAATAATCAATCAGTCAATGAAAAAAAGCATTGTCAGATGTATTGATAGTGAAAATAATTATTGGTTGCAGCGTTACAGTACTCCTGTGATGGATAAAACTACCTTGCACAAGGTTTTCTGTTTGTTTATTAGTTTAAACAAAGCAAATATGGAAGCAAAATGACAAAATATTTTGCAACAAACAGCTCAATAAAAACTAAAACAATAAAAGTACTTGTAATGACCTGATTTACATAATCAGTTGTTGTTGTTTTTTTATCTTAAAAGGAAATGGGTATTAATGTAAGTTTCGATAAGATGCCATTTCTGTTTGATTGGTGTTAAGGTTTATTAGAATTTATTTAATATATATTTTTGCGTCCATAATAACATTTACCATTCGGTTTTTCATTATTGTTTAGAAAGTGGTTTAAATTACAGTTAATATATATTTTATAAGATGTTCTAAGTCTTGTTCATTACTGAGAAGGTTTAATAATAATTTTGTTTAATTTGGAGAGTGTATCTGAAGGAGTGTGATTTCCGGTTGACCTCTGGGTGATCACGGAAAAAAAAAGTTGGTCGAGAGATGCGCATGTGACGAATCGAGTTGAGCTCCAGTGAGAGACGCCATGGACTATTAAATCTTTACCGAGTAATTTTGTTATGCTGAACTGTGGACTGTTTGCTAGTTAACTCACCTTATGGTATAAGTTATGTTAACGGTGTGTGTGAGTTTGAGACTGTTAGCGGCCAACGAGGTATGTTTTTTTTCCACTCTGGAGCGAGCTAGCTTGATTAGCAGAGTTGCCGCCATTGTGAGAGACAATCGCCTTCTTCACCTGCACGGACCAGAGTGGAGGAGCTACGGTAGGACGGAGCTTCCGCAGTCGTCGCGGAGAATTTGCTCGACGCTGAGGACGGTCTACTATCAGACAGGGTGTTTTTCCGGTTATGTGGTTCCTGCTGTCGCAGCTGCGGACTGAGATGAGCGTGACCTCAGGTGTTTTCTTCAGACGTGGTAAGATTCATACTCACGCCATGCAACTGTTTGTTTCTCCATGAGCCCCACCATTAAGCGCGCCAACGAACCTTAATGCAAGCTTGTTGAAACCAGACTAACAGACTAAAACTACCCGGGTCCTTTTGTTTTTGTTTTTTATTAAAGTTTTTTCATGTCGGGTTTGTGTGTGACATGTGGGATACCTGCAATCAGTTAATACAAAGTTTAAACTGCAGAAATGTGTTAGTGTTTTTTCACAGTATATGCTGAATAATAGATAATTAACATATTTCTGTAGTAACATCACCTTGGGTTATTAAAGCTAAGATTGTTCTTTTGGCCTCTCAGTAGTTATTAGAGAGAGAGAGAGCGTGAGAATCATACTTTACCCTAGACCTGTTTATTCAATGAGATGTCTCTTTCACCATTAGTAATACTTTATTATCTTCTGCATAAAATGTTCCTCACAATACGAGGCGGTGGTGAAAGCGTTACATACTTAAAGTAGATGTTGATACACCAATTGGTAATCCAGCCTTGGTTCATGGGAATTTTGTGATCCAACATTAGGTCCAGAAAAAGTTGAGAAACTCTTTAAAGGTGATTGAAAAATTCATTGTTTCTTCAGAAGGGGGATGTGAATATTTGACTCACCTCCTCCTAAAACACCGCTGCTGGTGGTGGTGAACTGCTTCCCGCTGTCTTTAGCCAAGATGAGCGTCTCCGTGTCCCTCTTGGCTTGGACATTCTCCTTGTCAGAGATCAAGAACTTATAGTCTTTCTTATATGTTTCATCAGTTTGGGATCTAGTGGCTGACAACAACAAGAAAGACAGGAATTGATATAACATTTATGATCTGATAATTATTTAGTGGTTACTTCTTCTCAGATGAGAGGGGATTTCAACTGTGGACTTACTTGTAGAGACTCCAGTGCTGACGACACCACCGCTATTGGACACGTTCTTCTGAACACCATAACCTGTAACACGCACACAGATTAACACTGATGTAAGCAAGGCACTATTTTGTATATTATACTTTGTACAAAATATTTGATTGTGTCAAAATATTGTGGAAACTGTCAGAAAACACGCTGCTGTACCTCCTAAGTTAGCATTTATGTTGGCTCCACTGGTGGTGAGCACACTGCCAGAGGTGGGCGCCAGGTTATTCTGAAAACCATAAACTGTAAACAGATAGCACAATTTGAGTTGGTTAAATAACATGAAATCATAAAATAACACAGTTGTCCAAATATTCATAAAACAAGAAAAAGAAAAGAAAAGAAGCAAAACAACAAAACATAGATTTAACCTCACGTTGAACATGACAAAAATTCATAATTAAATAAAACAAACCATAAAAACATAACACAAATAAGGTGTTCTACATTAAATTGTGGAATGGCTCAGGATTAAAACGTTATCAGTGAATATAACTGATTTACAAATTGTTTATGGTAGTGAAAACTGCAAATTATTATTATTATTGTCTGAAAAAAGGTACAAATTCCAAAGAAAATCAATATACAGTGATGAAAAATAGGGAAAATCATAAAATCCTCACATTTTAAAGGCTAAAAAAATTATACAGAAAAAAAGAGCAATGATTTTTTTGTTTCATTTCAACAACATTGAATCTAAGACTAGAGGATATGGATCCTTTTTTTTTTTTTGGAAAAACACCTCAGTCAGAACTAATGAGTCTAAATTTAGATGTGATGGCCATAATGTGTTGATTTCAAAGAAGAGATTAATTAAAAAGTGACAATGTTGACTTTTATGTAACTACTAAATATTTACCAGAGTGTGCTTATATTGTATTTTATGTGTAACTATGTCCATTTACCGTATATAATATAGCACATTACAAACAAAACCACATTTCACCTGCAAGTAACAGGTAACATTCAAGGGAGGTTGGTCTCACCTGACAGAGCCGAGGGTGAGGTGGGGGCGACCAGAGAGGTTCCTCCTGACATGTTGTTGCTGACCTGGTACGTGTAGCTGCTGGTGTTGCCAGTGACCGCCGTGGTGGAGGAGGAGGGCAGCGTGGAGGTGGACCAAGCGAAAGTTGGAAGTGTTGCGTCCAGTGTGTCATACTGGCCAGATCTCATGGTGTCGTACTGGCCAGATCTCATGGTGTCGTACTGGCCTGATCTCATGGTGTCGTACTGGCCTGATCTCACACTGGTATCATACTGGCCTGATCTCACACTGGTATCATACTGTCCTGATTTCAGAGTGACATCATACTGGCCTGATTTTACACCAGTATCGTATTGCCCTGTTTTCAGACCGATATCATACTGTCCTGACTTCAGACCGGTATCATACTGTCCTGATTTCAGAGTGACATCATACTGGCCAGATTTTACACCAGTATCAAACTGTCCTGATTTCAGATTGGTCTCATACTGGCCTGATTTCATACCAGTGTCATACTGTCTTGATATCAGAGTGACATCATATTGGCCTGATTTTACGCCAGTATCAATACGCCCAGATTCCAGACTGGTATCATACAGGCCTGACGCATCAATGGTGTGGAATCCACCTGATTTCACACCAGAGCCAAATGAAGTTGAAACTGCAGGAGAGAAAAGACACAGACAAAAATCAAGGAAATTAAAAAAGTACCCTGGTATCTCTCAAAAACACAGGAGGGAATGCAACAACATTTCACACAAATTTTAAAGTATTTCAAGGAATCAGATGTGACAGATCTTCTTGCTTGATTTATTTAACATTAACCAAAATTTAAATTAAATTATCCTATATTATATATTTATGTGTATTGATGTAATTTTCTATTATTTTATACTTTTTAACGCACCAGTATTTTCCTCATGTTGTCCAAAATGAGCAAAGAGATACTGTGTGTCATTTTAATCGTGCAGTATACAAAATATGTTTTATGCTTTCACGATTCTGGAAATACTGTAACTGTACTGTCAACCAAACGTCACAAAGGTGACATGCGAAGCTCAAACCGAGGCCATGTTGAACCATAAATCTTTGGGAGGGAGACATAGTGTCTGTGCATGTGACTCTGGTGGGGGTATATACCCGACTGTGTGGCCACAGAGACGGTCTTGGCTTCCACGCTGGCCTTTTTAGGGACAGGCAGGGTGATGGAGGCGGTGGAGGAGCGAGTGGGGCTGACGCTGCTGGAACGTCCCTTCAGCAGCTTCTTCACGTCGTCCAGCTCCGTCCCTGCAGAACCACAGTGATACAAACAAATGTCATATAAGTATTCATTTTAGTGCACGAGTTCAGTCTGAAAGTATCTGAGTACACATACTAAAGTACTGTACTTCAGTAAAAAAATTTGAGGTACTTCTAATTTCATGCTAATGGTACTCAGGTTTTTACTCAGTCACATTTATTTGACAGATATACTGCCCCACAGCTGTAACTACAGAAGCAGTGATGGTGTGAAAAAGGGGCTCAAAGTTTTCAGAGTGGACAGCAAAGTGTAAAGTAGCTAAGACACAGATACTACATCACAGTATGGGGAAATAATAGGGCAAATAATTAAATGGGCATATACCAACAAAATGTGTTCTGTTTTAATTAGATTGCTTAAGAAAATTTACTTAAATTTGATTTACAGTCCATATATAGAATATATTGCTCTTGTGCTCTATGTCCTGTCCAAGTACAATTGATATTTATATTAAAATCAACATAATACATTCATTAACAATTCAACAACAGCATTTGAGTAAAAGTACTTAATGAAATTCCACTTCTGTTTTTTTTATGTTGGGTTTTTCTTCAGTTAACATACAAAAATATTTTCCACCACTGCTTAAAGTACAAACAAATGCAACATGGCAATCTGAGACTGAGCTGAGGTGGGGTTAAGGTGGCACAGAATGACTAATCGTCAAAAAATGTGGATTAAATAACAGCAGTTATGCACTTTAATCAGCAGGGGGAGCAATCAGCATCTGTAAAAGTCTAACTCTCCATTGTTTCTCTCCAAAACGTGAGGTGCTGTAAACAGTGACTCATGTGTGCCATTGTTGCCACCACAGTTCTGCCCCTTAACTTTTTTCTCCCACGTGAACAAACCACAATGCAAACAAACCCATGATCCTCACTGTTTAAATCTCACCCTTTTCTTTGGCTGATGTATACCTTCTGTCTGGGGAGCTGCACATGTGTTACTAATTGAGATTTCATGGACATAAACATACATGTGAGAAGTGGGAGAGAAGGTATGTCCTGTACATGACATACTGAAAACTTGCACACTACTCTAAATTGACCCTGCAGCAAAAATTTGTCACTGTCCAAGTGGTTCTCTGAATGAACAATCTCAAATAAAGATGCTTTGTTGCTTTCTGAGGAATTGCATAACCGACAGCAAATGAATCCAAGTGGTCTTACATCTGCAAGCAGTGGGAGAGGCACTTTGTAGTCTGGCTCTGATCTCGCTCTCTGGAAAAAAATCACAACACACAATGGACAAAGGAATCCTGATTTAATAAAATGTAAGCCAGGACAATTTAGAGTCAGATGGTGTACAAATAATGAGGAGAGGGAGTGGCAAAAACTTTTATTGAATACCTCTGCTCTCGCTCCTCCCCCTTGTGGTGCTGGAGCCTGAAAAGAAAAAAAGAAAACATAAAAACACAGACACTTCTTGAGGATAAAGCTGGAAAAATACTGTGCAGCCATGAAGTATGTGAATCTATACAGCTGTCACTCTCACTTACAGTAGTTTCCATAATCTTTTCGTGTAAATTCTGGAGAGGAATTAGCACTAGAACTTCCTACAAGAAAAAACACAATAGTTTAGCAGAAATGTAAACAGCACCCTTGTGCCCAACAGTTTCCTTCTCTTTATTAAGCTTCTGTTTCAGCCCCCCCTGATGCCCACTGTGCTGTGCCTGTGTTATTAACAGGATCTCACCGTCATAACCCCCTGAGCGGCTGGATATGTTCTTCCTCTCCCGGAAAGCTGGCGACAGGCCTCCTGATGAGCCAGCAGTCTGCGCTCTCCTGGCACCACCCGACGAGCTGGACCTGACCTTTGACACCGAGCTCACGAAATAACTGCCTCCGCCCAATCCTCCTCCTCCTCCTCCTCCTCCTCCACTTCTGTACCCCTCACCGTCTATGAAGCTCCCCCCTCCATCGCCTCCCCCTGAGGAGTCTCCTCCTAGGTAAACTCCTGAGGAGGAGCTGTAGTTGCTGGTGTTCACACCTACAGAGGCTGGAGGGATGATACACACAAGTTAATTTGGGATTTCCAGCAAGTGTGTCATCTCTACAGCATGACTACACAAACAGGAATATGCCTGAGTCACATGAAAGTCCCCTGGATGTAATAGTAGAATGTAGCTACGTATTTTTACTCAAGTACAAAATTGAGATACTTACTTTACATGAGTATTTTGTGATCAGTGGAAATACTCAGATACTTTACTTAGGTAAAAGTACCAATACCATGATGTAAAAATACTCTTGTTACAAGTAAAAGTCCTGCATTAAATAGAATACTTCAGTAAAATTTACTTAAAGTATCAAAAGTAAAAGTACTTGACCCCTGTGACTGATAGATTATCATATCTGACATTATAAGATTGTTAAAAGTGGTGCATTAATGTTTAAGCAGCTTCTTTTGAATCTTTTTTTTGTGTGAAATATTTTTCAATTTGATCTCGAATAGCTACTTACATGAAACCTTGCGAGCGGTAAAGAACTGTTCACAACTCATAGACATCTGAAATTATACACATCTCTTTTTTAAGGGGATTTGTATAGCATTTTATAAGCTTATATGTTTTATGAAGTCCAGTCTTACTTTGAAAGGTAACTCTATCTGTCAGATAAATGTGGAGTAAAATTATGAAGTAACAGAAAATAAAAATACTTCAGTAAAGTACAAGAACCTTAGAACTGTATTTAAGTGCAGAATTTAGGTAAATATACTTTCCACCACTGCCATTTCATGCTATTTTATACTTCTACTTATTACATTTCAGAGGTAAATATTGTTTATTCATTTTTCATACCAAACATATGATGAGAATATAATTCATTACCTAACCAACAATATACAAAGTAGTTTACATATGTGGTAGAGCTAATTCTTGGAATGTCCCGGGAAGGTCAGCGTACTTTAGTGCCGATTACAGTGAAAGTATAGACACCGTTCTGAGACAGGTATTTATGTTTAATTACTTGTCGGGTTTCTAAGCAGTCATGGATTCGCAGAGGGATTCTTGTTGGTTTATTATTGGAAACTTAACTCACCATAAACAGTATGACGGATTGCATGCTTAGCTGCTGACAAGTTTAATGTCTGTATGTTCGGCCAACCTGGTTACTACAGGACTTTTATGTACTGCAGGCTACACCAGCAGTTCACTTGAATTCATTAACTGGATGTGCACCAATTCTCTGCTGTGTATATAATCAGTAACAAACGACATAGTTCTTCCCAGGAACACTCAGATGAATTAAAGGTGCACTTCAGTTCCTTTCAATAGGAAATTACAGGAAGATGTTAGTTGTGGTGGAGTAAGTATTCAGATCCTTTACTTCAGTAAAAGTACTAATACCACACTATAATTTTTCAGTTCAGGTCTTTTACTTGTAATGGAGTAGTTGTAAAATATAATCAGGAAGTATCAAAAGTAAATAGTAGTCAATGCAGAAAAGCAGCCCCTGTATGTTTTATGCTATTGTTATTATATAATCATTACTCAGTTATTAATGTGTAAGTGGCATTTACCGTCAGCTCATTTTTAACTATTTTATATAGGGCTACAACTTATGGTTGTTTTCATTGTGGATTACTCTGCTGATTATTTTCCTGTTTAGTCCATGAACTGCACTGATCGTCAACGTGAAAAAATGTGTGAGAAATGGACATCAGCGCTCAAAGAGACATCTTTGTTTTGTTTTGTCTGACAGTCCAAACCTCAACATTAATCAGTTTACTGTCATTTGATTTTTTTTTTTTGCCTGAAAAATTAGTTAAATGAACAATTAATTAGGAATTGCTGAATGAAATTGTATATGTATTGTTTAGTCGTTCTTTGAGTGGAACAGACGTATAAAGTCTCTTAAGTTCTGGTAAATACTGGAGTAAATGAACATGACTTTACAGTACAGTACTTGAGTAAGTATGTATTTAGTTACATTCCACCTCTGCAAATTAAAACGGCTCCATCTCAACCAGCTACAACAGTGAAACACTACTTGCTTCAGTAAGTGTAATAGTATATTATTGTATAGCACTGGCATGGTCCATTTTTCAGTTTTGAATACTTTTACTTTTGATTCTTCAAGAATATTTGTAATGTATGTAAAGTACATTATGTATTATAATGTACTTTTGCTTCACTAATATTTTCAGTGAAGGACTTTTACCTGGCAGCTCTGAAAAAATGCAAGTGTGGGGAAACAAACCCAGAAATCAAAAGTAGTTTTAGTTTCTTTCCAAAAATGTAAAATGCAATGCTCAGCATCTTAAAACTTGTCCAAACACAAATGCACAACTTCCTTATTTCGGCTCATGAAGCGGAAATTTGCTCTCACATGAAGAGAAATAAGTTCCACTGCTGTTCTGGGTTAAGACATTCTTCTCCAAGCCCAGCCCTCCAGCACCGCTGGACATATTCCTGTGATTTGATCCGCTGGTTCCCTCTAGCAACGACAAGACACACAGCAAAACAAGGAGAAGCTGTTACTCATCGGGTACTTCCTTCAGAGACGCTGGGCTGTAATTACTGTATTATGATTTTAGTTTACTGTCAATAATTAAAGCGAGCATGACTGGAGGAAAGAGGCACTCACTTGGTGGTAGAGAAGTCAGTCTGGTCGTCGTGGTTACGGTTTCTGTCACAACTGATAAAAAGACAGAAAATAATCACTATACACACCATGCAGTTTGAGTTTTACTCCTGCATGTCATTCAGACTTCTATATGTTGATCCCTGTTGGCAGGGGCTGACTGGAGTGTTGAGTGACTGGCATGGTGATGATTTTTCTTTACAGAGCTGAACAAATGTGACTTTGATTGATAGACAGTGTTAATAATGCTTTATATATCAGTTATAAGCCATTAATGAGAACTCCATTATCAGGTTCTTTATCCTTTTCGGCAGGACGGTCGCTTCGTCTTCGCAGCTCTTCAGTTCATCAGAGAAACCTTCCAATTACCTGTTAACAACTTATTAACATTTATAAATGCAGACTAAGTATTTGTTAACACATCATTAACTGTATCTCCTCCTGTGGGCGCCAAATCATGTCTTTGTTTAGTCTGTCAAAGTTCAGGATTATTTGGAAATTGTAATAAATTTGGGTAAGAAAAAAAAATCTACGAAATTATCAAAACAAACAACTGTCTGACATGTCTGTCTTTTCTGGGGGAATTGTTGATTCTTCTTAGCACAAGACACACTTCCCGCAATTTCCCAGAGCTTTCATCCAGATCTTAAGCCCTTCATCCGCAGACAGTCTGCTCAGTTGTCATGGAGATGGCTTAGTTGTTGTCATGAAACTTAAATGTCGAAAAACGCCTAAACCATCTCCATGAACGCTGTGGAGCATTTCCAGTAAGTTGCTCTTTGTGGTAAGACTTTTTTGTAGCTCTACTGTTGCTAACGTCAATAAGGAACCTTAAAGCTCAATTTATGATTTGACAAAACTCTCCAAATCTATGTCTGTGCCTCGTCTCATGACGCACATCGTTGGTTTTTGTGAAATACTAACATACAGGGTGAAATTAAGGAAATAAAAAGTTTGTGTAAAACAGGTCATTAATCATGAACTGGAGACAGATAATTAAGACTTATTTTATCGCTCTCCTTCCACTAAGAGACATCTTTTGCTCCAACGGCAGCCTGCTGAGGCTTCCTGGATTCAGTTATAGATAATGTAAATTCCATTTCAATTTCATTCTGCCTCAACGCTCTCCTCCACCTCCTCCTTCCTTTTAGGGACTTCTGTCTGTTGCAGGGCCAAGGCTAAACACTAACAGTGATCATGCTTTGGCTGCTGTTGCTCTGTGACTTTGGAAGAGTGAAGGAGAAGCTAAATCAGTGCATAAGATGCATCTTAAAACTTTGTTTGTTGGGACTAAACCACATTATCTTGTCTGTCTCTTGTTTTTCTCTCTTTCTTTTCTCTCTTCTGTGAACCACTTTGTAACCACTGGTTGGAAAAGTGCTACATAAATAAAGCTGACTAACTTTCTCTTAGTCTAAAACAAGAGGACAGGATGGCTGATTATATGTTTCTCTAGGTTAGTATCAAACATGTAATCAGGCGTTCCTTGACCTCTCCATCCCTCTGCGTGTCAAAAGTCGTTAGGCCCAGATGAGCTGTTTACAGTCTGTTTACATTCAGTTATGACTACTGGAGGAAAACCCAGAGGATGACTTACTCCCTGAGAAATGGGACCTGAGACCAGTGAAAGCATGCCGTGATGTTAGTGATAGAAAGCCCCCAAGAAAGAGAGAAAGAAGCATCACCAGAGAAAAGGATGTAATGGAAATCTAAAAGTGTTTGCGGTCTTTGAACACAGATTTTCTCTACACCAGTCTGCCATTAACCTTTCAAATGAGAAATCATAGTTTTATATATCTTGCCACAATGAGGTCTGTGGAAATGGGACATTGTTTTTGGAAAAGACACAACCATAAATGAAAGTCATCTCCAAGTATCTTCAGAAATCTACAGCTGAGAGTGTTGTGAATTTGGAGAAGCGGCCCTTTAACTCGTCCTTTTATGGTGGCTTTGTTTATTGCTGGTATTAAAACCTCATAAATAAATTGAGAAATCTCACCCCTTTCTCCTGACAAGCCTCCAGAGAAGTCCATCTGTCCTGTTAACTCGTCCATCCCATCTTATCTGGTGAGATGATGATAAAATGTTGACCATGGTTGTGCATATATATACTGTGCCAACTGTTGTTAAAAGTCAGTTTATCCTTTGGCTTGTATCTGTGGTTAAATGGCATTTTAACAAACATTTGATGGGAAAAGGGCAAAAATGTCAGAGGAGATGCCAGGAATTATTTGGGTTAAAGACCAAACTGCTTTTGTCTGATGTTTACTGCATCAATTTGAAGTTTAATGCCACTGGAGACAGGAAAATTTCATAATATCAGTCCCATGACTCTAAAAACCACAATCTAATATTCAGTAGAACAACCTGCTTTTAATGAACTTGATTAAGACAGAAATTCCACAGGAGGCCCAATCACATTCAGCTTTCAAATAATCAGTATCTAAAAACTTTCTAGACACATTTAAATCTCATGTGAAAAGTGAATATCACAAGAAAGACCTCAGTAACTATAAAGCATAATCTATAGATTTCAACAGACTTTGTCTTTGAGTCTTTGAAGACCAAGCTAACAAAAGAACAAAAGACGCCAGTGGATCAGTGCACAGCTCTGAAAGACCATCCACTCACCACACCCTGCCAGCCAAGGACATTTAACTGCACATGCTTCATGTACAGCACACTTTAGTACACTTTTAACCAAACAAACAAACAAAAAAAGAACAAACGCCAGAAGATGGCATTTTTTTCCCTCTTTGCCTACACCCTAGGATGCTCAAATCACAATTTCTAGCCTGTAAAGTGCAACAATCATTAAAGTTTTTCAGTTTCTTCATATTCCTCAGTAAATCCACAGCTTGCACACACAAAGCTCACTGTTAGAGCCTGTGACTGATCTTAACAGCACTGTCACATAAAGTAACTGATGCTAAAGCTAGGCCAGGTCCTTGAATATATTTAGAGGGATGTAAATAGCACAGCAAAAATACCTGTAAAACTATCCTGAGATCGCTGTAACAGACTATAGATAACACCAGAAGAAAAATGATCCCAAAAACCTCCCTACTGGGTTTTACAGACAACTAAAAAGTTGCCTACTTGTAATGTTTTATAGGAATTGTCCAAAGTATATATAGTGGACTTTGCGCAATTCCATCCTATTAAGCCAATAAATCTGCAGCCCGAAACGCAGCCTGACAGTCCATCACCAAACTCCCAGAGCGCAGTTGTTAGTGCTGAGATGCAACAGCCAAGTGGGAAGAAACACCCGCAACATCCAGCATAAACAACTTTACAGATAAATAAATAAGTAAATATAGAAAGTTTCCAGGTTATTCCATAGTAGTTGCAATCCATACCTTTAGCCAGCTCGAACAACAATGAAGCAAATCCCGATTCCTCTCAAGACCAACCGACTGATCACGTCCACGGGGGGAAACACGCGTTTAAGAGGACGCGCCGTGGTGGGATGTTCTTCTTAAAGTCCTCGGTCCTTTTGTGCCTTTTCCTTCAACTTTCCCAGGCAAGTCAAAACACAGATTTGGGCACCGGTCCCAGCCGCGCCCATTAGCGCTGGAGCTTGGCAGGCAGGTGTAGCAGACGGCACGAAAAGCTGAATTTGAAAAAGAAAAAAAAAAAAGCAGCGCCTGAGGGAACCAATTATCTTGTCAGAGACAGATAGTCGACTGTGTAAAAGTAAAGTGATGAACTCCTCCTTCTCCTCCTGCTGCTGCTACTTTAATCACCACTTTTCCAAACTGGCAAACTTTTGGAAGGAGGTGGAAAAGGAGTGTTTTGGGAGGTGGGATTGTTTCTCTTTGTTCTTTTCTTTTCTTTTTTTCTTTTTTTGGATTGTAGGAGTGAAACCATTTCAGGGTCTGCTGATAGACTGTGTGCAGTAAATCCATCCTGTTGCAGCTGGAGCACATCTGGTGCACACATTGGAAGTAGAAACGGAACATTTTGCCTATATGGTTTCAGCCACTGTGTTATTACATAACCAAACTGTATTTTTGCTGCATATACAGCAGCGTGCAAGTCTCAGTACGCTTGACAAAGTGACTTAAACTGACTGTGATCTTTGCACAAAAGACTGTTCTGCATGTTTGTGCAGCTGTTGAAGGATCCATCTCTGTTTTTCTTGTATACTATTGAGATTAGGAATTATAAGTATGATTATCTTTAAAAGATGCAGAATCAGACTGTTTCCACCATAATCACACTCCCATATGAGAGAATATAAGAGCTGTTTTTAACTGTGTGATCATAATAAAAGTTCCCCATCCATTCATTTGCATTTATGCAATTTTGAGCCAAATTAGATGCTTTATTTCTCCACTAGCAGCCACAAGCGCCAGTAGGATCCCTCACCCACCACGCCCTGTGTAGACATCCACCCACCCTGCATGACTCACAGCGAGCATGACTCCAATCTGCACAAATGATGGAAAACAAATGGCCCCAAGGACAGTGTAACAGAGGAGGAGTTGCTGAACTCACATCAATGTGCAAGATTGAATAATGCCAAACCTAACAGAAAGGGGCTGGTTTAAAACAGCACATTCCAGCAGGATGAAAAAAAACAGAAAGGAGTTAACTGGCCTGTGCAGCCTCTTTGGATAAAACACAGTTGTGTTTTTGCTGAGGATAACAGCTTTCCAGATAAGGGGTCAGTATTTTATGGTGCAAGAGAGCAGTTGATTCAAGAGCGACCAAATTAGGTGTAGAGCAAGTTCAAACGGGGAGCATTACATAGCAAAGAACTTCATCATTTGAGGTTTGTCAAGATAATGTGACATGTAGACACTGATGAGTCACTGTGAAAGTGAATCTTGACAGTCAAGTGTTGTAAAGGAGCCACCAGTTTTCCTCACCACACAACTGATGGGATAGATAAGTTATAATTGTTTTTCTTCATAACTGTGGGTTATGTAGGAATCTCTGCACTTGCAGTTTTTTTATAGTGTCTCCTGAAGTCTCCTGCAGGGCACAGTGTCTCTCCAATCAGGCAGCATTTGTTTATTGTTAATTCTGAAAGACAATTGACAGGAAAACACCACAGAGTGGCTCGACTTCGAACAGTTACGTTTGATGTTTTTACATTTTTATGGTGAAAAGGTGAGGTTTTCATGGATGTAACGTTTTGTTCCAAGTTAAGCTGCTAAACCTCTAAAATCTCTTCTCAGAAAGAACAGCAGAAAGTAAATTCCAGGAGGGCAGTTTGCCGGACAAAGGAGGGGCAGACTGCACTGGTATCTGTGTATTTATTTACCTGGATACTTGGCTTTCCAGTGATGGAAAGTGATAAAGGCAAATTTTAAAAGGGTGTGTAAAAATCTATTTAAACATTCTTTCAGTTATTGTAAATTCTCACTTGAAATAGTCGAGTAGAAAATTCAAAACTCCACAGAAATTTGCATAGTGATACGATTTCTCATTTTGTTGTCTGGCTTACAGTTTACCAGGGTCATTATCAACTGATTTTCATATTAATTATTTGGACTTCCGTTTTGATAATAAATTACTTTTACAAGAAAAAACATCAAACATTTCTTGGTTACATATTCTAAGCTATGAGGATTTTGTGCTTTTATTTGTTTTATGAAACTGCAAATTAATCTTTAGGTATTAAATGTGTTATTTCTGACAGGAATGACAGTTTTGATTTAAGTGGTTAACATACAGTATTTCATAATTACTTCACTCTTTAAACGTGAAAGAAAACACATCTCTCACTCGGGGATATTCAGAAATGATGTGCAATAACAGTACCGCAGTCATCCAACTAGCACAACAATCAGTGGGCTACAGGTCAAACCGCCATTTCCAAAGCACTGCATTATTGTAAGTTATAGTCCTGTTTCATATTTTGATATGTGACTCAGAACTGCACAGATGTAAATAATAAAAGTTTGAAGTTAGCTTCAGTTTCAGTGTCCTTGAATTGCACATGCTATTACAAAATGTCTGCTGTGAAAAAGGCCTGTTACAACCACCACTAAGAAACAACATTAACTAAGGCAGGTTCTATTTTATTAGGTGATATTTGTGGTCATGTTTTTGAAGATGGGCCCTGTGTCAAACTCTAATTTACAGATGTTTATCACGCTGCCATTTAGAAACCATGTATTATGTAAACCTGGAAATAAGGAAGCGCATTCAGATGAGACAGTTACCATATAAAAGGGAACTCTCCAACACAGAGACGGCAGATAACACATAGTGTCGACTGGAAAAACAGAAATAACCTACTAACACAAAACAGTCTCACTCACAAAATCATGTGACACCACTACAGTAAATCAAATCTCCAAGAATCTGTTGTTTTTAATACTGAATTTAAGACAATCAGTGCCTCTTCCTGACAACATATTCCTCAACTACATGATCTACGCATATTATATCAAAAGGTATAATAGTGTCTTACTGCTGAGCCATACTGTATGTGCGTCTTGAGAGGAATTAATCCACAATGCACACACATGACCTGAGGCTGTATGCGTGCCCGCCATCTACACCTGCATTTGATGTAATCTGGCACCCTCACTCAGTCTCACATAGTCTCTAAACCAAAACTATCGCTACAGGCACTTAATGTATAAAGCTGAGGAGCGAGCTCAACATTTCAACTATTCAAAAGTTTAAATACAAAAAACAAAGAAAAAAGTTGTCTGACTCACAAATAGTAATTATCTTCAACCCTCAGCCCTGTAAGATTCATCCATATAAAATGTAAAAGATAAAAAATTCCCCAATCCCCTAGGGTGTGTAATATCAGTCTGCCAAGTACTGATGTTCAAGCCTAGGCAGGATCACGTTTTAATTCACACCTTTCTCCTCGCGGCAACGAAAAGACATAGTTAAAAGAAACCTGTAGGATATCAGCACAAGTCTCAAAACAATCTTAAACTAACAATGAACACATCACTCGGAGTCCTTCAATAGAGATGAATCAGCTCTCACTGAATCACAATATGACTCGACCCTAGTGACAAGGGTAACCAAGTAACACTGCTTCAACACTGTACATGTTTATAAGCCCACAAAGAAATCACTTGTACTTGTTTACTTCCTTTGAGTACTTTATTTTGTGAAACAGCACAGCTGGATCAGTGTTTGTCCTTTTAATCCCATTAGAACACCCTACCCAAAAAAGACTGCTCTGTTCTCTGTTCTCTAAAAAATAGTCTTAGTTTAATTTAATAAAAATAGTAAGCCTATTATTATTTTACTCAGTTGTATTGTAATAAGCTCATTATTTGTATCTGTGGTGTCTTAACCACTGAAATAAGTTCAGAAGAAATCGTTTTGTTCTATCACTAAAGTCATTTGTATGTATAACTATAACTATAATTCATTTTAAACTTGTGGTTTTGTGGCGCAACCTAGCGGGCTTAAACAACTACAGCTCCCAAGATTCTCTTCGGTGATGCGTCATTTAAATCTGTCCAATCGCTGATTTTGGAGGTAAAAAAAATACGGAAAAACAGAAAAATCTCGCATCACATTCACAGCTTTACGTTTTTGACGGTGCTTTGTGAAAACCTGTTGGTTGTTTACTAGTTATTGTGAATGCGTTATTCATTCGTATAGTTTGGGTTTTTCGAAGGTGTTTGTAGAGAAGTTATGTGACCACCTTGGCTAAATTGAATCTAGTAACGTCACAGTGTTGATACTGTACATTAGCCAAAGTAAAATTCACCGATGGAAATCACCCCTAAAGCAGCTAAAGTAAAATCAGTGTATTCTTCACCTTGTCATTCAGTGGAGTCAAGCCCCTGTGAACACAAAGAGGAAAAGGTACGTGAACTACTTATGTTAACTTTCGTTAAAGCTGTCATGTACCCGGAATATAATGTCTGGGTCTTAAACTTCATGTACCAGTCGCCTAACCCCTTGGGCCCCTGGGCCTGTGCAACATAGGCCTTTTCAGTAAGCCATGGGTCCAGGTCACATTAATTATTTAATTATTTTACTTAGAATTGTTGATATATACAGCACATACAGAAAATTTGGCATAAATGTCAATGAATGAATGTTCCTAATAAATATTTGTAGACCTTATTGTTTGTTTTCAGTCATTCTTTAACTGGTATGGCAATGAAAAAAGATATTTAACATTCTGTGTATTATAAAGGTCAAAATTAGTTCTAAATTTAATTTAATGTGACCACTACTGAAACCTTGACTATAGCCTTATATAAGATCCCATAAATGCACCATCTATGTATCATGGCTGAGTTTGTGCATACTCTCACATTGATTATTATCAACTGTTTGTACACTGTGTTTCCTGTATCTCATCATGCTCATCTCCCCAGCCTCATCAAAAGCTGAGCTCTTCACTGAAGGAGAGGCTGAAGAGATCAAGGCGCTCCTTCACCTCACCCCTCTCTGTGGCCAAACGACTATGTGTTGATGACTTAGAGGAGGGTGGCAAACAAGTTTTAGCAGATTCTCAGACTGTTAATAATCCTCCACTTATCACTGACAATGTTGACATAAACAGAAATGACGGGAGGTCAGGGAGTGAAAAGTTTACTGGACCTATTCCCGAAGCAACACATCCTCCTTCAACAGACTTAGCACAACATCGAGACCAACTCAGGAAGGAGGTTAAAGACAAGATGGAGACTCTGCGTAGACTCAAGATGGTTAAAATGTACCGAAGCAAGGTATCAGCTACCTTTAAATTGTCTGGGCTGCTCCTAACATAACATTATGTCATTTATTTTGTGAAATAGACCGAAAGTAATCATTTTATATGTATATCTCTCTCCCTAGAATGATTTAACACAGCTCCAAACCTTGATTGACAAGTGGCGGAGTTGTGCTCAGGCTGCGCTGTGTGAGCTCCAGTCAGATGTCCTGATAGAGGGAGGAAAGGCCAGCCTATCTGAACTTATTGACCACTTTGCTCTGGATGACGGTATTCTGCACTTTGACCGCACTGAGGAGGACTTCAGTACCTAATATTACACACACATCATTTAGTGTACAAAAATACTACAGAGGAACAATCACATTAAAAAAATCTGAGTAATCAGAGTTAATTATTTGTTTTATTTGTTGCTGCTACAATTTTTATTCACAGCTTGAGTTGTAAATTTCATGTTCAGTTTACTTGTTAAGAGAAGTGTAAATAAAACCCTGTTATGTGTTAAGGACAAGGCTTTGCTCAGTTGTGTTTAAGCTGATCAAGTGAAGGAAAGTTCTTCATCCTCAGGCGCTCAAGTTTGGCCCAGAGGAAAGCCAGATCTTCCGCCTGTGCTCTGGCAAAATCCTCTAAGTTCTTCTTCTGAACGATTTCCTTGTAGCGCTCCTCTGTTTGAGCTGCCTGATTTTCCTCTGAAGCTAAAAAAAAGCAAGCCACATTATCAACCAGGGAAGGCTCTAAAATCTCAATTTGTTTTATTAGCTTAAATAAATGTTTTATTACCTATTGCTTCATAAATGTGTGTCCTCTCCGCCACAGTCACCTTTATATTAGGTAGCTGCTCTTCTAAACTTGTGCTCTTCTCAGCTTTCATCGCTGCCTGCCTGTTAAGCTGTTCAATTTTTTTTATGCGATGCTGCACACTCTGTTGATGAGTCTGAAAATAACAAGGGCATAATAAGCATATTAACTGTAAAGGTGTACAAGAGCTGTTTGATGAGATCACATTGTTACTTGTGTTTTACCTTTTCCTGGAAAGCTATTGTTTTCTCCAGAATGGAAACTTGCTTGGACACGCGACTGTCTCGATTTGTCTTGTTGAGATACTGAAAGAAAGGGGAATAACTGACATTTTTGAAGCCAGAATTCAAAAACAAAAACAGAAGGAGCAATGACAAAATGTCTCAACAGAATTTTCTCTCAGGCGAGACTACTCTAGCTCTTTCAGTGAAAGATCCCACAACAATCGCAGCAAAATGCTTCATCATAAAATGTTAATGATTATTCAGGATGGATTTATTTATAATATAAAGCTTTTCTTTCCCATGGTTTCAGGGGCCTAAACAATGACAGGAAGCTTCATGCCACGCCACAGTAGACACTACCTGAGGAAACTGGCATGCAGGCATGGAAACATGTTTTGTGTGTGCCATGCTCATTGACTTGTTGAAAATAAGATTATGGATGACTCATTTGATCTTTATGTAATTTTTCATTGCTCAACCATAGAGTTCGTGTTATTTTTTAAATATGAGTAAATCACAAAATTTCTTGTGTTTTTAATGTGTATGAAGGGGTTAATGGAGCAGGAGCAAAGTATTTTCCTGTCAGCTTTTGTGGTCTGTATTTGACTGAACTGCCTCTTCACACCTTGGATCTAAACGTGCAGCCAAATGAAGCACAGAAGCTTCTCTGTTTACTAGAATTTTGAATTGTAGTATATATATTCAAACTAAAACTGAAGTGTTAAAGGCATAAACAGAGCAAAGAAAGTCTACGTGTAGTTTTTAAAGCAGTCTTTAAGTTTTAAAAGATGCAAAAACAAAAAAAGAGAAAAGGGTGGAGAGGGTGTGGAGCTTGTGTGAAAAAGGTGTGTCTGATAACAAAAGCTCATCCATCTGTATTCAGGGATGGTAACAATTTTCTGCTTGCAAAACATCTCATGCTGCCAAACCCAAAATACCTACCTTGATATCAACGACTGAGGTTTATCCAGAAATGCAAACAGGATTAATGTTTCACCCCAAACGCAGATGTTTCATTGCCATTCCAGGCAGATGTTTTTGAAAACTTTTGACGTATAATTACAATGTCAGAATTATGTTCAAGGTAAAATCTATTCACTATGCAGTAGCATTATTTCTCATAAAGTGTTTAGTGTTTGTTTCCATATTGAGGCCAAGCCAGTATTTGATTGAGGATAAAAGATGCCAAGGTCCCTGAGAGAAGCTAAACAGAAACTTACATCCTGTTGGTCCTCAGTGAGACGTAACATCTGGATGTCCCTCGCTTTGTTGTTGAGGTCCTCTATCTGCATCTTCATCATCTTGTGCTGCCACTCCAGCTGGATGATGCCCTTACGGAAGTCTTTGCACTCCACCATCGAGGCTATCTTCTGCTCTCCAAGTGTCTGATCATAAAGGTTCTCATCATTTCACAGACACACACATTTTCAAAACCAATGTATTTGACCACCACTTGAAATTGGCTTTGGCTTATTTGGCAACTTTTATCAGAAAGAAAATCATTTGTCAGCATTGTATTTATGTACATGCTTATATGCCATTTGTGTATTTTTGTATATAGATCCATCATAAGAATATACAGTACATCCTAGTTTTCAAGAGTGTGTTTTACAATAAGTAAAGGCTGACCCTGATGGTTTTGTTAAGGTCCTCCACCACAGTCCTGTGGAGAAGTACAGAGTCAGTGTAGTCAGCAGTCAGGTCTGTGGTAGACACCTCCACCTGGCCCTGTTTGAGCAGGACCTGGGCCATGATGTCTGTCAGGAAACAGTTCTTCTCTTTATGTAGACTAGAGGAAAGCGCGAGAACAAATAACTCATTCTTTCAAATGAATACAATAAAACACTAATACTATCTAGTTTTTACTATATCACCTTTATATTTAAGCTTAATTTTTAGAGCATTTGCTTATGGTCAAAGGATACAGGGAATGAGACAATTTTAAGAATAAGAGTGGCACTCTCTCAGGCCATCCTTGCTGGGTTTTTTTTTTAAGTAGAGTGACAAATAAACATTTTTATGTTCTCAATCAACTACTTATGATCAGAATGAATGACAAAACAACAGTCATACCTTTCAAGTTCATCGGAGAGATTTTTAATTTCCTGTTGAGCAGCCTTATCCTCATCTCTCCTCTTCTGTAAAAACGCCTGCATCTCAGCAATAGACAAAGCTTGTACTTTTACCTGTGCAACAGTAAACCACAGATACAAACACAGAATAAAATACATTCAATCATTCATTAAAGTTTCCTAAATCTGTTTAATAGCTGGGCTGCACAAAGCATTACAGTAATGGTTCACTGTAAAAACACTTGAAAATGAGAGAGACGATAGATCTACAATTGGAAAGCCATTGTTGATAAGAATTAGAATATTTGTACACAAACTAAAAAATATTATGCCAATTGCATATTTGTTGCATATTATGTTTTTTAGTGGTCTAGCAATGTTCCAATGTATTTCCAATCTTTAACCTGTCTGTGTTCTCATATTACCTTTTGCTCACTCTCTACTTTTGCTCTGCGGACGAGACAAAATCTGTCCCAGATGGATGGGTTCAAGCCCTCTGGTATATTTTCCGGAGCATCCAGCTCCTCCATGGCCTTAAGCATTTTGCCAAGCACATCAGGAGCCAGAGAACCGGACAGATGCTGCTCTTTAAACAGGTTGGAGTTGTTGTCGGTCTGAGTCCTCATCTTTTGAACCCTGAAGCATTAAAGACTCTGATAACAGTGTAGCTCTGTCTGTAGGCTCTCTACGTATGAAGCTATGAGTCACCAGAAACTGCATTATGTTTCACGTTTGCAAATAAATTGTAAGTGTTACAAACCTGGGTCTACGCTTGAACAGCTTATACAAGTGATCAACAACGTGGGTTGGTACATCAAAGAACTCCTTCCTAAATTCTTTGTCAAGAACCTTGGGAGATATGGATTATATTATATTATGTGCACAGCCATTTACAACCGAAATTATTTCAGTACTTTCCGAGCTGGCTCACTTTGTCCTCAGCTATGATGCTGTCATAGGTCTCGTGAAACAATTCTACCTCTTCTTCGTGTCTCTTCACCTCCTCCCCAGTTTCATCCTGTCAGAAAAATACATGCTGATAAAATGAGAGCAACGTACGGGAAACAGTGACTGGCAGTAATAAAGCTTAACAAATGAGGACACGTTAGCTCTTGAAAAACACGCCTGAGCGATGGGAAGATATTATACTAAAATTTGGAAGAACACCACACAGCTTCACTCAGGTATCTCACGAATAACAGAATCTGAAGCTGGCGGTCATAAATTCCTTCAGCATTACTGTGTAAAAGTTTTCTGACCTTGTATGCCAACGCTTTTTCAAGTTTGAGCTTGAGCTCCAGCTCTCGATTTCTCATCTCTTGCTCTATGATTACTGAATAAACAAGATAAGTGATCTTGAGCTCTTCCTGTAAAGAGAAGGAAAAACAACATTAAACAGGATTTTTTTTAAGATGTCACATACACAAGATATCGTATCTCATAATTATTTCAAGGAGGAAACCACAGTGAGAAGAGGGGACCCTTCATCTAGCCTGGGGAAAATGACGAAAAGGAAGCAACTTTGATGTAGACTGATTTCATGTGTCCGTGTTATGAATCAGTCTATGTGTCACATGCATGTTCTACGTGTGTGTGTGTGTGTGTGTGTGTGTGTGTGTGTGTGTGTGTGTGTGTGTGTGTGTGTGTATTTATGTGGTTGTGTTTATATGTATGTGGTGGCTCACCTGGTGTATAGCCATTTCGTATTTTACTTTCTTCTCAAACAGCTTTGTCAAACTCTCATCAAACTTTATGGTCGCATCCTTGGTGGATGCCTGTAGTTTTTTCATTTCAGTTTCCAGTGTCTGCAATATAACATTAGAGTTAACACATGATTTATATTGATCACTGATTAGAAGTTAATTTTTCTGATTATAGTAAAACCGAAATGTGAATGTATCTACTTTAATACCTTTTTGTATTTCTCTTTCTCCTCACTCAGGTCTTTGGTTTTCTTCTCATACTCTTTGTAGACTTTTTTCTCCTCCTCACTCCAGTGGATGTCAGGTTTGGTCAAAACAAACTCAGGCGGAGGTATTTCCTGTGGAGTAAATTCAAAAGAAACTATGTGCCCTTCATGCTGATTCAAATGACACTGTCTAGAGAACAATTCAAGTAAAAAAAAAATAGGACATAATTTTCCTAATGGGAGAGAATTAATGCTTTCCTGTGTATTACTTAGTTCACAGATATAGCATTTTGTGTTCGTCCTAAGAAATTACTGCAGGTGGTAAGGATGAGTTTTTCTTCTTTTTTTTTCTCTGTCTTTCTCAGACATTCAAAAAATGTTTTGTGTCTTGTTTTATTCCACAAGTCCAAAAGCCAAAGATATTCAGTTTACTATTATGACAAAGAAAATCATTGAATCTTCACATTTGAGAAGCTGGAACCAGAATGTTTGT